CGTCAGCAGGGCCCGTGACACCCCAGCTGTCTGCACGGAGGTATCACAGGCAATTTGTAAGAGCAGACGTGGGTGTGAGAGCACAGGAAAGAAAATAGCATCCCTGTGAAATCGCAGAGAAGCCGAGGCGGGTGCCAGTGTGAGAGAGCAGAAGGAGAGGAGGTTTGGGTGGGGCGGCTGCCATGCCCTCTGAGGGGGGCAGGCCCCGGGCACAGAGCAGGGGGGTATTGCAGGACGACGTCACCGGCCCTGACGCGGCCAAGGAGTGGGATGGCAGGTGCGGGACACGGAGGCCCTCCCCTTGGTACGGGCTTTCTGGTTCCATGTCTTTGCCCACAGTCATAGAGTGACTGCAGCAGCTCCAGACCTTGCACCTGGCCTTGAAGCAGGTCCAGGGAAAGAGCCTTTCCTCCAGGAGGCAAACTGAGTTCCAGGCCCACCTCTCACTGGTCGAAATTGGATATGCGCCGTTCTGATGGCATCGGGCTGAGACTCAAAGGCTCTCTAGGTGTGGACATGAGCCAGGGTCTCCCTGATGCAAACGCTCTGACTCAGGAGCCATGGGGCTGGGTCCCTTCTGTATTTAAAAATTTTTTTTTCTTAATCTTTATTTATTTTTGAGAGAGAGACAGACTGCAAGTGGGGTGGAACAGAGAGGGAGGGGGACACAGAGTCCGAAGCAGGGTCCAGACTCTGAGCTGTCAGCACAGAGCCCGACGCGGGGCTCGAACTCATGGACCGCGAGATCATGACCTGAGCCGAAGTCAGATGCTCAACCGACTGAGCTACCCAGGTGCCCTTGGGTCCCTTCTGTGTTTAACAGGGCCCCTCAGTGATTTGGATGTAGGCTGACATTTAAGAAATCAGAGCCCACCCTGGGCCCAAACCCAGGGGCAAAAGGACAGGCAGGGCAGGGCTGCTCACCCCCAGGCTGGTCAGGAACGATCATGATGCAGGGAGGGGACTGTCTCCTGAGCAGCAACGGACAACGGGTGCCCTGCTGACCTCCCACCTGACGGCTCAGGGCTGAGGCTGCTGGGAGGCAGGTCCTGAGCTGCCAGGCCCCCTCTGCCGCCCGGTTGCCTCAAACCACACCGGACTGTGGCGGGGGGGGGGGGGGGGGGGGGGGGGGTGTGCATCTGGGTTTCTCCCTGCCACGGCAGCCGAGGATCTCAGCCTCCCCCCACCCCCCTCTGAGCCATGGTGGCCCCAGACTGTCCCTTCAGGGGCTTTGGGGCCACAGTCTGATGCGTCTTTGTTTTTTTAAACTGCTTTATCGAGACATAATCACATACCATACAACATACCTCTCTGAGGGTACGGGTCAGTGGTTTCGCCACAGTCACAGGTATGTGCAACCAGCCCCCCAGGAAGAAGCCTGTCCCCTTCAGCTGTACCCCCCACCGCCCCTCCCAACTCTGAACCTGCTCTGTCCTCACAGATTTTCCCATTCTGCACATTTCAGAGAAGTGGAATCCTACTCCACGTGGCCTTTCGTGTCTGCTTCTGTCTCTCCGTGCTGTTCTTGAGGTCCGTCCGTGGCCCAGCTGCCGTCGGGGTCCGTCCAAGGCCGAGCTGCCCTCCGGTTCGTCCGCGGTGTCAGTATATCACTCTTCTGGGCTCAGCCACGTCCCACCGGGGGATAGACCGCATTTTGCTGGCCTGTTTCCACCCTCCGGCCATCGCGAGTGTGCCCGTGGACATCCGGGTGCGCGTCCCCGTGTGGACGGTGCCGTCAGCCTCGGGAGGCCCCAGGCGTGGTTCTGCCCGGCAGGGGGCGACGCCTGAGTAGCCGTTTGGGGGGCCGCCAGGCTGTTTCCGGGAGCAGCCGCCCCCTCTCCGTCCTGCCGGCCGTGTGCCAGGGCTGTGACTTCTGCGCGTGTGCACCAACACTCGTTACCGTGTGCCTCCGTGGTCCCGGTGGAGCCTGCGGAGGGGGCGCAGGGCGGGCGGCGGTGCCTCCCGGGGGGACTTGCTGCCGCCGCGCGCTGCCCTGGCGCCGAGTCTCTGCCCCGCTGGCCTCCACCCCCTCCCGGATCCGCGAGGGCGCCCCTCCCGGACCCCAGTCCTGAGCCCCACCCCTGCCCCTGGCTTGGGGACTGATGGCACTGTCAGTGATGGCGTGGCTGTCGTTCGTCGCCAGGGCTCAAGGCCACTGGTCGTTTCTCTCCTTAGGCCCAGCTCTGCGCGCAGGAGGCTTTCGGGGTCAGCAACCCCCCTCCGCCCAGGCGGCTGGGCTCCGCGGCCCCGTCCGTGGCCTCCTGCGCCTTCCTCCCTTAGAACAAGAGCGGGGCCAACGGGGCCGTGCTGCCCCCTGGTGCCCGCACGCGGCACCTGCAGGGGCCGCCGCGAACTTGGCACCTCCCATGACCCCAAGAACAGTGTCTAACCTACTTAGAGCATACACCCTGTGTCAGGCCAGCTTAAGCCAGGGACATACGTGATCTCAGTTAATGTCCCCAGCGGCCCTGCAGGCATTTCCCCAGTGAAGACTCCCTGTGCACCGCTCAGGAGAGCCTGCACGCACCCCTCCCAGGGGCAAGAGGCTTCGGGGTCGGGGACATGCCACCCCTTCTAGACCGACTGAGGACCGAGGGGCCCGGAACTCCCGGCTGCGCCCTTCCGGCCTCTCCTGCGGGGTCCACCCGGGGTGTGCACCTGTGGGCCACAGCCACCAGCAGTGCCCGGAGGGTGGGGTGGGCTGAGGAGGGGCCCCACCTGCACCTGACGTGCTGGTGTATTTGTCAGGGCGGGAACAGAGGGTGCCCGGTAGGTTGGTCCTATGTGAGGGTTCTGTGTGGGCTCCCCAGCTGGCACGGAGCTTGCCCACACACGTGGCCATCTGGCCCCCGTTGTCCCTCGAGGAACAAGAGGGGACTACTCAGGCACAGGCCGTGTCCAGGGAGCTGGGAAGGCCGTAGTGAGCAAACAGCGGGTGGCCCCATCTGGGGACACGCTTGAGGGAAAGAGCCTAGGAGTGAGGGTGGTGGGCTCCAGGTGAGGGGGGCGCCACCCTGCAGGGGTCTCAGGGCTCCCACCTGGGGCGCTGGCCTCGGGACTGTGAGGGTGGACCTCACTGCCGGCGTCTCTCCTCCCTCCGGTGCCCAAGGGAGCATTTCGTGGAGGGAACAGATGGAAGAGGGGAGAGGGGGACCCAGAGTGAATGGGTGAGGCAGTGGGAGGTGGGAGGGAGAGGGAGAGGGGG